TGTTCAATCCACAAAAACATTTTTTTTCCAAATGTAAAAAAAAAAGCAGATAGTATATTTCTCTGGACTTCAAAAAATAAAGTTTATATGAAAGGACTATATGGACTATATGGACAAAAAAATATATATAAAATAAAGGACTAAATAAATTTGGACATCAATTGACAAATCGGAAAAAAAAAAACAACAACAAAAACGCCACTCAAAAAAGTGACTTTTACTACCTCCTCAAACTACTTAATTAAATTGAGTTGAAACAACACAATCTTTGAGTTTTTTGGGGGGCAACGTAATAGTTTTTATGTTCACTTAAATTTGTAAAAACTGTTAGGTTTACTTGGCACAACATGAAGGAATTGCGTAGTACCCTACATTTTTAAATGTAAGACGTTTATATAATTTTTTAGACAATGCAATACCAGTGTTTTAACTTATAAAATATTTATTGGATTAACCCAGAGTTTTTTATTACAACATAATCAAATTTTTGCCATTTTGTAATTTTGACTGTAATTTTCTTATATATACATGAATATATATATATATTAAAAAAAAAAAAAAAAGATTAATCCCTGTAAACTTTTTAAAGTTTGGAAGAAATGTCAGATGTTTCGAGTGTGTATTTACTGACGCATTTTTTGTTGTTGTTGTTGTCAATGGAAGTGCTGCGTTTTTTTAAACGGTACTGAGTTTGTTTAACCAAAGACTCTAGAATACACAAGACATGTCACTCGTATAGTTTTGAATGGGGGAAAAGTATACCGGTCAATATAGCAAATGAAGCCTCGCCTACTAGTACAAGAGCCGATCAGCGATCTCTATAGACTGACAATTCTCTGGGCAGAAGCACGAAGCAGATGTGAGTTTCTGCAGATTTTGTGTGACTCAAACATTTAGAAATGAAACTAAAGAGACAGTTGTTGTCTAATTTGATTGTTGATTCCTAATATAAAATTTAACCGTGAGCTTGGCAATCAATATTGGAGAATTCGATGTTCCCCATTCAAACAGAATGTCCGAACATACTGACAGAGAGGCATTTGAAAGATGGCTGTCGAGTGAAATGACTTGCCTCAAAGGGACTTTGATTTTAAGTGCTGAGTGCTTTTGCGCCATTTATTAAATAGTAAGAGCTGAACATTTTTAGAAAATTGCTGCTATTTTCATGTGCGTAAAAAACGCTTCAGTGGACACGTGCCCTTAAAATTAAACAAATATTAACATTTAAGTCATAACACATACCCAATGAACCAAATACATCCAGAGGAATTGACCATTTCAAAGTGATCTCTTGCTTTTTTCTCTCTCCATAACCATCTATAACTGTATTCTCTTCTGTAATTAATAAAAATGCACCGTTAAGCGCTTTTGCAGTGAGAACTTGTATGCTTGAGTTTAATACTGTAACAAGTTTTGTTGAGGTATGAGGTATGAGATCATGCAAATAACTGCTGAAGTGAGGTCTGTGTGGTTTTCGTAGCTTTTTTTGTTTGTTTTTGTAACAAAAGGTGTTCACAAAAGTTTGGTCATGACCGCACGATTGAACTGTTCATCTGGTTTTGATGGTCAAAAAAACTGACTTCTATTGCACATTAGAAAACAGTTTAGCACACTTATGATTTCTGGTTCGTTTAAATAGCACTCAAGGAACATTCCAGGTTAAACACAAGCTAAAATGAGGTATAATGAAGAACTACACTGTAAAAAGCCATTAGTTACTTTACTTTTAAAAAGTGAGTAAACTCATTACCTTAAAAGCAACAAGTTGATTTCACTTAGTCAGTAAACCCCCTGACTTAACTTTTATAATTATGCATATAGTTTGTTAACTATATAGTTATAAGGCGACGAGTGTGCTCTTTTTTAAAAGTAAAGTCAACTAATCACTTTTTACAGTGTACAAGGGCTTAGCTACCCAATAGACTTTCAACTGTAAGTGCATGTCTATCAATATATGATTGTTTTTTTAGGCTTTTATACATGTATCTTGTATTTATTTTTCTACATGTTCGTAGGTTTAGACTACACAATATCAGTCCTATTTTGGCACAATCCATTTCAATGTTGGTTTTGTGGCGATTCGTAAACATCAATAGGCATTGAGACTGGTTCTTGTATAGTTTGGCCTAATTTGATAAAAGAAAAAAATTAAAACAGATTTTGTGTCTGAGACGATTCAATACGTCCTCAAAAATTGCCAACTTTATCATTTTTTGGTCGCGTTTCCAAATTGTAAGTAAATTTTTCTGTCTTAAATCTTTTAGTTGAATCAAATGAACTCTAGTCATCTCAACTTACATCAAACAAACTGACTAAAACATGAGGCTAAACTTTGTATGACTTAAAAGAAAATAGTTGAAACCTGATTAACATATTAAAATAGGTTAAAGCAACTTTTCTCATTACATGTTTAACATTGCATGAAGGAGTTTGCTGTGAAATTGACCAATAGGAGAACAGAATCTCATTAGTTTAGCTTTAAAACATGGCAAAACTAAAGAGAGGCAATGGAAATGATGCAAAAGCAACAACACTCCTGCTTTTACGCCTTTACTGCTTCTCTTCAGCCAGTAGAAAACAAACTGCTTTGGTTGTCATTGTTTTTTTTTTTTGCTCATATTTCCACATAACGCTAGTTCTGTCTGCTTGATGACATCATGCATGTCATTAGAGACAGCAAGCAATGATTGGTCAGGAAGCCTCATGTTTCTTGCTCAAGAATTTTAGGAACGAGTCAAAACAATATTATGACATAAGAAATGTATGAAACAAAAATATTGTGTAGTCTGAAGCGATACTTCACAATAAATTAATAAATGTTTTCCCTAAATGCATCATATTTGAAGACATTTTTCAAAATAAATTGTTTAAACTACTCAAATATTTTATAAATGTATTTTAAAAATGTCTTAAAGTAAATTATTATTATTATTGTATTAATCAACATTAAAAATGGACAACTTAACTTGTATTTAACGTAGAATGTTCCTATTAAATAGCTCTGGCAACATTGGTCCCTTCGTTTTTAACATTCTGGGCACTTTTGTTTCTTTGTTTCAGAGCGGATTGTCATAAAGTCTCATAATGCATATCGCAAGACCAAAAGTGCATTATAGTACATTCGGTCTCAAATCAAAAATAAGTGCTTTTGTCTCGGGGGATACATTCATGATTCGCCTGAGGGTGAAAAAACGAGGGAAGAGGGAGGGAAAAAAAAGCGATATAAGTGCTTAAAGAGCGATTCACCGGGAAGGGACGTGTGACAGTCACCTAGCATGTTGTAAGCGCTTTGTATCAAATAAAAATCAAATAAAAAGCGTTGTGCTCTCCTGAATGTTCACGTGGAAGAAAGTTTGATCCTGAAATTCTTCATTTATAAAACCTCCATTATAAAAAAAAAACAATGTACAGATGCAGGAATAGTGGCATGCTTAGACATCAACATGTTGCTTACATCTGTACACAAACGGTCATTCAGGAGTGTTTCCGTGAAATAAAAAAAACAGATCTGAGAGCACAACTCCAGGAATAATCTACAGTTGAAGTTTGAATTATTAGCCCTCCTGTGTATATTTCTCCCCAATTTTGGGTTTAACGGAAAGAAGATTTTTTTCAACACATTTCTAAACATAATAGTTTAATAACTAATTTCAATTTTATCTTTGTCATGATGACAGTACAAGATATTTGACTAGATATTTTTTCAAGATACTACTATTCAGCTTAAAGTGCAATTAAGGTGTACTAACGTTAGGTCCAGTTGTCTTGAACCAGACAGAAGTGCGCTTCTGCCCCCTCCCCTCTTCCTTGAAGGCCTGCACTCACACTGCATTTTTACCTTCCGAGCCCGAGCACGCTTAGGACATCAATGACGCAACTTCAGTTAAACAGGAAGAGAAGCGCTCTCGCTCAGCAAACTAGACATTGTTTTAGTTCATAGGTCTCAAACTTGATGCCTGGAGAGCCACAGATCTGCACAGTTTTCCTCCAACCCTTATCAAATTCAGCTGATCCAACTGATCAAGGTGTTCAAAACTAATAGAAGCCATTAAGCAGGTGTGAGTTGGATGTGGTTGGAGCTAAAATCTGCAGAGCTGCGGCTCTCCAGGATTGAGTTTGCTATAGATATATGGTTGCATATTATTTTATCGTTTAAGACGCAGTGACTCAGTCAAATATTTTGCTCAACAGATCCACAATTTTTAATTCTCATAAATTAATTAGGTTTGCTGGTGCAGTAAGGGGATTGTGTCTTAAATAAACTATAACAGTTTGCCTTCATTGAAAAGTAAGAATGATTAATAAATCCATATGAAGCAGTCCCTTAAAAGGGACGTCACATCTTCAGTTTCGTGCTCAGGCATGCGCTGTGTACAGTGCCTGAGCCCAACCAAACCGCGCTTTAGCTCACCTTATCTAACCGGACCAGGGCAGCCACCCAAATCGAGCACAGGCACGCTACATGCCTCATTCACACTAGCAGCGACTTTATAGCTGACTGTCGCTCTGGGTGGGATCTGCTGCAAACGCAGGTCTGTGTAGGTCTACAGCACGGAGAATACAACTGGCCTCTGAGCAAGCTGAGAGAAGATCACGTGAGCTCTAATGTTGCTCAAGAGAGTCGCTCTTCATTTGTATGAAGTTGAAAGATTCTCAACTTTGGCACGTCGCTCGACACGCCCACCTGGTCGCCAACGGTTGCTGTCGCTGGCGTAGACGGAAGTCTCTCCATCGAAATGAACGGTCGCTTTGTTTTGTCGCTGCGAGTCACTCGTAGTGTGAATGAGGCTTCACACTTGTTAAACGTGCCCAGGCATGGTTCGGATAGCCTAGTGTGAGTACACTCTTAAAGACTTAACTAGGTTAATTAGGAAAGTTAGGGTAGTTGGGCAAATCTTTGCATAATGATGATTTGTTCTGTAGACAATCAAAAACAAATTAAGGCGACTGATAATTTTGATCTTAAAAGGTGTTTTACCAAATTAAAATCTGCTTTTTTTCTAGCCAAAATAAAACAAATAAGACTTTCTCCAGAAGAAAAAAATATAATAGGAAATACTGTGAAAAATTCCTTGCTCTGATGAACATCATTTCGGAAATGTTTGAAAAAACTGACAGAAAGGCTGATAATTGTGACTTCAACTGTACATACGAGTGTGTTGCGGAATCTGAAACACTTGATTGGCCCCTGTTGTAGTGTAGTGAATGAGTTTCTGCTGGTAGTTTTTAACAGTGTAATAGATTCTCCCTGGAGCTTTTTTAAAATGCTGTTTTTACCGATAATGTCCTCTCATGTGTTCACACATGCTCTTTTCTTCCCCTTCTCTCACTCTGATTCTCTCTCCCTCACTCTCTCACTCTTTCTAACTGTTGGTGGAGTCTGGGAAGTTGATCTCGCTGCCGAACACTTCCCTGTACAGAGGAGGGAAACTGTAGGCCGTCTCTGGATGAACCAGGCGGAAGAACTCCAGCTTGTCAATATGCAGGTTACAGATCGACTTCATCTGCGGGAGTTTGGACACCATCTGCGAACACAGGGAAATGAGAGTGTCATTATGATGGAGACAATGAAGATAAACTGTTGGATGATTTAAAGGGGACCTAATATGCACTTTTATAAAGGGTTTAAACACAATTGTGTGGCAACAGTGTGTGAATCTAGCCAGCCTGTAATGGTGAAAATTAATGAACTCTATTTTTTATAATCACATTTGATAAAAACGATTTGAAAAAACACTTTGATTGAAATTCTCCCTTTGTACATGGAATCTTATGCTTATCTATGCAGTTTCAAAGGTAATGTGTTATTTTAATTTCTACATTATAGTATAACTGATGGGGAGAAGAAGTGTTTCTGATTCAAAATGTTGTTAGTAATTATGCATTATAACACGCAACTGAACCAAAACATAACCCTTACCCAACCTATAAATGTGTATTAGATGCATATAGTTAATTTATATTGCACAGTACTTGTCAGGTCATTTTATATTCTTTCGTGCTTTATGGAATGCAAATTGTGTCCAAGTAGCTTTACAGAGACATGGACTTGTAGTCATGAAACAAGGAGACTATATAATAAAGTTTAAGTAAATACTTGTATCCTGAATTAGGGGTTATGCCGCTTTTATGAGGGTAAACTGAAGACTTTTAAAAGACCTTTTAACTAAAGAAAATATAAATATATATCTATATAAAATAAAAAAAAATTTGAAGGAAAAACAATACAGCAATGTGTTGAGAACTACATATAATGTCTAGGAAGCACATGAAGAGTTGTATTTATAACAACATTTTAAAGTAAAAATATGAACTAATGATGTGAAACCTGTTGAACTCTCCATCCATCCATCCACCCATCCAGTTAGCCATCCATCCATCCATCCATCCATCCACCCATACATCCAGTTGGCCATCCATCCATCCATCCATCCACCCATCCATCCATCCATCCATCCATCCATCCATCCATCCATCCATCCATCCATCCATCCATCCATCAATCCATCCATCCATCCATCCAGTTAGCCATCCATCCATCCATCCATCCATCCATCCACCCATCCATCCAGTTGGCCATCCATCCATCCATCCATCCACCCATCCATCCATCCAGTTAGCCATCCATCCATCCATCCATCCATCCATCCATCCATCCATCCATCCATATATCCATCCATCCATATATCCATCCATCCAGTAAGCCATCCATCCATCCATATATCCATCCATCCATATATCTATCCATCCATCCATCCATCCAGTTGGCCATCCATCCATCCATCCATCCATCCATCCATCCAGTTAGCCATCCATCCATCCATCCATCCATCCATCCATCTATCCAGTTAGCCATCCATCCATTCATCCATCCATCCATCTAATCGCTCATAAAAATGAACACCATCATCATATGAACTTGTTGCTCTGATTCAAGACCTCAAGATTTTAAAGTCTTAACCCACAGAAAAGCCCTCAAAATGATTATTTTGTTGCTTGTTCAAACTACTGAGCCCAAACAATAAAAGTCTTGAGACTTTTTTGGGACAACTTAATTGTGTTATGCTCAATCCGCTTGATGTCACAGTTTTTCTCAGTGGCTTTGGTGCATTTCTCACAACACTATGTACATTTGCACAACAGATTATGCATTTCTCAAAATAATTAGTAAAAACTGCAAAACTGTGTTTATAACCTGCAAAAGCGCGTCACTTGCTCAAAATGGATAACTCATTGCTCAAAAGCAAGTAGTCATGTCAATGAAAGTGTCAGTGTCATTACAATGAAAAGTCCTGACACCATTGTTTATGATCAAGATAGTCAAATGGCTTTGTCATGTTTTCATTAGGACAGTTTACTTTGTACATGTTTTCCAATGCAAAACAGTCAGATTTTGGTGACACTTTCTGAAAATGCTCAAGACAGCACTATATACTATTTGCACAGCCATTTGAAAACAACAGTAAAGTCAGACATCACTGCATTTAGTGAGATATCTGAGAACAAGACACTAAATATGTGTGCTTCACATGTTTACTGCATTTGCTCTTTGCAATTCTACTTTATTCACAGCATTGAGCAGAAGAATAAACACACCCTTATTTACAACAATCATAAGCTTTCTCTGGGTAGAGCTGTGCACAACTGGAAACAATATTGCAGTACATATTGGAACTGAACCTGCAACATACACAGGTCTGCAAATCATTCATGAAATTGTTCAAGTTAAAAGACATTTTGAGAAAAAAATTAAATATTTTTTTAAATAAAATTACTTTGACAGATTTGGACAACTAGTTAAACATTTTTTTTTACGTAATGACTCAAGTAATGCGAATGATAATGTTATAAAAAAGCAGAGAGTTATATGAAAGCCATTGATGCATGTCCAACCACATCTGCAATTTGTTGGAAGGAATGAGAAACTGCTACTATGATGTTCACAAATGACTAACTGTTTTGAGAAATGCATGACCTGTTGTGCAAATGTAAATAGTGTTGTGAAAAATGCACCAAAGCCACTGAGAAAAACTGTAACTTAATCAATTTGTGTTGGGACAACATGAATGAATTGTGAGGAACCCTGCATTGTTTATAGTGAGTGATTTAAGGCTTTTTTAAGATCCACTAAAATCCAGCTGAATATTTCCTTCAGTGTCATGTGTTTGTGTGTCTGATTCCTCACCTTGTCCAGTTTCTCAATGGTGGCTCCATTCATGTGCAGGCTGTGCTGAAGCGCCACGTAAACCTTCTCCTGGAGCTTCTGAACCTGCTGAGACTCGGTCAACCATGGCCGGTCTGAACGACACAAAGAGCAAACTGTGACAACACATCTCATTGAATGCCCACAACAATATCTAAATATAGCTAGGCATGGGACTATAACCGTTTTTTCAAGGTTTTGAAACTGTAAATATTTCCTGTTATACCTTTTCTACGGTATATGTACGGTTTTTAATGTTTTTTTTTTTTTACAAATATTTTATGTAGTTTCAAATCACTTATAAACCAACATGCCAGCATGCTATAGAGCTGAACAGTGCAGTAGCTTAATTTATATCCAAAGAAAAGAAAGATATCCAAAGATGGCTTTTTAAGTTGTAAAAACAAATGTGTTTTTGAAAATAATTAGGGCTTAACAATACAGCATACAGTTGAAGTCAGAATTATTAGTCCCCCTTTGATTTTTTTTTTAGTATTTCCTAAATGATGTTTAACAAAGCAATGAAATTTTGACAGTATGTCAGATAATATTTTTTCTTCTGGAGAAAGTCTTATTTGTTTTATTTTGGCTAGAATAAAAGCAGTTTTTAATTTTTAAACACTATCTTAAAAATAATATTATTAGCCCCTTTGAGCTATTTTTTTTTTCGATTGTCTACAGAACAAACCATCATTATACAATAACTTGCCTAATTACCCTATCTTTGCTAATTAACCTATTTAAGCCTTTAAGGACGTACTCACGCTAGGCTTAAGCCTTTAAATTTCACTTTAAGCTTTATAGAAGTATCTTGAAAATATCTAGTAAAATATTAATTACTGTCATCATGGCAAAGATAAACTGAATCAGTTATTAGAAATGAGTTATTAAAACTATTATGTTTAGAAATGTGCCGAAATAAATCTCTCCGTTAAACAGAAATTGAGGGAAAAAATAAACAGCGACCAGGGGTGCTAATAATTCTGACTTCAACTGTATTAAATATTGCTATTTTTATAATTGTTTATACAATGATAACCAAATAAATAAACCAAAAAGCACTGTTTATTTATTTATTGTTGCTCATTATTTATTATAATTTATTCTCTTTAAGTCAAGTGCTATTATGGAGTTTCCGCCTGGATTTGCCTAGCCAAAATCAAAAGCTTCCCAAATCCACATAAAGAGGTGTAAATGCAAAAGTTTAAAAAAAATAAAAAAAAAAAACTTTGAATTTTCATTAAACAGTGTTGAAAGTGATTAAAATAATAGTATATGTTGTCTGTTTTATAATAAACTCCTCCAAAAAGAGGTGCTTTTTTTTTTTTACTCAAATTTGAAAGTGTACCTTTTAGGTTTTGCACTCTCAGAAATAAAGGTACGCGAGCTGTCACTGGGGTGGTACCTTTTCAAAAGGTACACATTTATACTTAAATGGTCCATTTTGGTACCTCAAAAATATATATTAGTACCTACAAAATTTTAAGAGGAACACTTTTGTACTTTTTAAGTACTAATATTTTCCTTTGAGGTGTTAATATGGACTTTTAAGGTACAAATTTGTACTCTTTGAAAAGGTACCACCCCAGTGACAGCTCATGTACCTTTATTTCAGAGAGTGTGTGTGGTGTAGATTGTTGTAATTAATGTTGGTGGTTCCTGCACGTGTCAGTAATCATAGTAGGAAAGAAAAATGTCATAATCTTTGCAAAAGTTATTCTATTCCAACTAATGAGAGAATGGAACCACTTATGGGAGTATTGGGCAAGTACGGACCTTAAAAATGTAAAGAATTCAGAAGTAAACGTCATGGACCCGGTGCCGGGTCCCAGAGTTTAGGAGGTTATGCAGATGCACTGTACAGAAAATGACTTGATTATCCCAGTCAATTTATATAAATAAAATCTTTCCAAATAGAGCTATTCAAATCATCAGGTGAAATTATGTTCATATCACAATATATATCGCAACAAAACAGCAATATTTCACAATATATTGATATTTTTACTAATGAAACTAGTAAATAATTAATTTCAATTACTTAGCCTGACATGTTTTCTGTTTCAAAATATTTGAAGTGTTTCTTAAAAAATTATCCAATAGGGAAAAGGTTGCTGTTTTTTACTCAGACATTTAAAAGACGAACATATTGTAGAGCAGTAATGACAATAACAATACCGTAATACTGTGAAACCGCGATATTTTTATAAAAGGTTATCATGTCGTCAGAATCTTATACCCATGCCTAACCATAGCACATTTGTTTTCAGTATTTGTAAGCATACAAACCCAGGTTTTTAAACCCTGAGGAAATGAGTGTCTAAACTGATACCAGACATGAATGCGAGAGTCTCACCTGGAGCCAGCAGAACCGCAGCGCTGTATAACGCCATTTCCTCCTCGCTCAGCTGAAGACGACTCAGACTTTTAGCCAATTCAAACACAGCGTTTACAAGGTCATCACACCCTGCAAACATATACACAAGCCACTTACTACACTGAAGATGGAGAAATAAATGACACTTCCGTTAAGGCTTGCCATTTTCCCAGAAGCAATTTTCTTTAGCATGAAATGATTTCATAAATATACTGGGTTCCGAAAGGAAATAAGATGTTCTTGTTGCAAAGCTTCAGGTAATTGAGGAGAATAATAGAAATTTAAAAGAGATAGTTCATCATTCACTCGCCCTTTACATTCAATTTTAGAAACAATTTAAGAAACCAGCAGCCACTGATTTCCATACTATTTCTTTTTCCTACTATGGAAGTTGATGGTTACAGGTTTTCAGCTTCCCTCAGATTATCTTGCTTTTTGTTCAACAGAAGAAAGAAACTCTTAATGATTTGTAACCACTTGAGAGTGAGGGGAGAGTGTGTAGATTTGTATTTATGGGTGAGCTATTCCTTAAAGTACAACAGGCTTCTATGACTGTATTCGTCATGTATGTGTCTCTTTCTGTATTGTTTGCATTGTTAGTTTTATCTTAAAATCTGCATTCAAAGTCAGATTTAAGAGTAGGAAACAGATTTATTTTTCTTATTGTGACACATAAAAGAGAAAAACGATTTTGAAAAAAAAATTACATGGATCAGGATCAGAAAGAGCATTTGTTCCCAGGCACACTCAATATATATATATATATATATATATATATATATATATATATATATATATATATATATATATATATATATATATATATATATATAATTTGTTCAAACTAGAAGCTAAAAAAGCTCAGATTGACCAGTGACCACCCACTTCCCTAAACCCTGTTTTTTTTTTTTTACTACAGTATGTACTGCAAGATTTCATTGGGACAACTTAATTTTCCTATGCTCAATCTACATAAATTTGTTGAAAGTCTTAAGTTAACTTAATCGATTTGTGTTGGGACAACATGAATGAATTGTGTGGAGCCCTGCATTTTTTACAGTGCATGTTTACGGTTGAGGAATTTGTATTTGTCATAGAAATTTCCACAAAACCAAAGATGATTAAGAAAATAACAAAAGAAAAAGGAGCAAATAAAGGATAAAATTATACAAATTAAATTTACATATTATACACAATAATGTATGAATAGCTATATTATGTGCAAATTAAAATGTAAGCTATGCATGGGTCATTGTTTGGATTTTGGGATGCTGGGATAAATAAAACCTTAAAAAAGTATTAAAGGAATAGTTCTACCCCCAAAAAAGGACTTAAACCAGACCTTCTTGCAGTGAGTGCTAACCACTGCATTGACATCCATTGTAGTGGAAAAAAACTATGAAGGATGAGAAAATAATGACATAATTTGGGGTAAAAATTACCCTTTAAACACGCACAAATGGTTTATTTAAAAAGATCTATAACAAGTTAGATATATATATATATATATATATATATATATATATATATATATATATATATATATATATATATATATATATATATATATATATATATAATTGCTCTACAAAAACAATGCATATTTTAGCTCTTCCTGATTTTAAACACTTTGAAAACAGCTATAGAAATAAGATAGCTTTGTAATCTACAAACTTACTCCAAGAATAATGTATTTATTCAATCTGCTATGCTGTCTGCACTGCTTCTGTTTAACTTTGATGAGCTATTACTCACCAGAGCATCACTTGTATTCGATAACTGGGTTAAAAACCCATTAGCTCTTGTGCCTTATTGATTCGCGACGCCTCCACTTTTGCTCTTAAGAGGCTGCTGGTGTTTTACATTATAAAGTAAAAGTGGATGTGTTTGAAAATGAGTACTAGCGCACTGCTTCCTGCATAGTAAACCGCTCAAATATATTTCAAGCACTGAAAATCCTGTTTAATGATTCTGATAAAAAAAAGACTTATATATATTTTACTTTGACCTACATAAGACAACCAATTCAAGTATTTTGCAGTGTAACAACTAAATAGTTTATCGACTAAAACAATCTCGTCAGGCATTTAATATGCATAATAAACACTATTTAAGAATCACAGAAAAGCCTAAATTTATTCATCATAGATGTTTACACTTTGAGACTATCCTTCAAACCACTAGGTTTGACTCAATTGTCAGCGTCATATTTTTAATAATATAAAATTTAGTATCATAACTTACCATTGTACATAGACTGAAATGACTGATACACCTGGAAAATTGTAACTTAAAGTTTTTGTTCAAATGTAAATAAAACCTGAGAAATATTTCCCCCCACAATGATAACTCTTTTACATCGTCTTATTATCTTTTGATATATAAAATATTATTAGAATATAAATATTATCATTATATCATCATTTGAATTCAAAACAATTTTTACATAATTAAATAATCACCAAGCAAATGAAAACATGCATATAAAATATATACACGCATATAAACACACACATTTAAACTGTGAGACATATGAATATTATAGATGGCATTTTTACATTTTAGTTTCTCTTTAAATGAATTAATTCAGACTTTATCTTTAAAACAAAATCTGTTCATAAATGTAAGCCACTTTCATTTCCTTACCATTTCTTTGTGTTTTAAACATGCATGTGTTTTTCAGCTTTGAATACTATACATTTTTAAGTAATTGTAGTAATTTAAGTAATTGTAATTGTAAGTAATAAGAAATAAAATGCATGTTTATAATTATAAAGTTTCTTTCATTTAGATATAATATAGTGTGACTAATGTCAACTAATGACTGGTACACTGATGCAACTTATCTGGGGTTTTTTTCAGTGTCTCCCTTAAGTATGGATTATTTTTGATAGCCAGGTGCTAATATTTAATTGTATTGATAGCCTGTTGTTTATTCATCTTTTTTGGGGGGCAGTTTAACTATATGTATTCAATCCACTAAACTGTTCATATTATTACATATAATATATCAGGGTATCTGCAGGTTTCTAATATTATTATTTAAGAATTTTTTTATTAAGACTTTTTTAAATAACAAACTGGATAAAATTTAAGACCAATTGTAAAGTATAATAATTTTATAGTAGAGAACTTACAAAAAAAGCACACAACATATCCTTATTATATAGAAAGAAAAAAAAAAACCTGAAAACAATCTTGAAACTGTCTAATGAAATCTTCAAAACAGAAACAAAATCTTCTTTATAACTCTGAAACACATATTTTAAGACATTTTAAGACCAATTAGGGCCTTATTTCTATAAACACCCTGTATATAGTGCTAAAAAACCATAGAATATTTTGCACAAATCCAGTCACTCACCGAGAGCTTTGAAGAGCTGAGGACTGGCAAACTTGCCATCAAAAAACATAGTGTTGTTGGAAGAGTTGTAGGCGCGACACATTCGTATCAGCAGGACTTCCAGGCATCCTGGAATAGTAATAGAGAGAAAGAGAGCGGCAAAAAAACGTGATGGGAGGGAAAGGAAGAAAGAAATAGAAACAAAAAATATAGACAGACAGAGAAGGATAGAGAGAGAACAGATAAAAAAAGAGTGCAGGAGAGGAGAAGGAAAAACGGGAATATGCTCCACCGTGCAAAAATACACAGAAAAAAAAGATTAAAATTTGATCCAAATGTGGGAATAACAAACACCATCAAAATGAAATGTTATAGTGTTTTTTGTTTTTGTTTTTAAATGACATAAAAATAGGGGTTTCCATTAATTAATGTTTTTTTTTTTATATACGGTAAGCACAAAGATCAGGTGTAGACAGAATGTTGGAGAAATAAACACAAGAGGAGACAAACGTTAGTGCAAATTTCAGATTTAAGATTGAAAATTGATAGATTTAAACTCTGTGTAACTTTACAATACAGTTGTGCCACTTTTGAATGTCGGTATTCTGAGCATGAGCCGGCGTTTTATTTACTAACACCCAGAATCCGGTTTAACCTGTCATTAAATGTGCAGAAAATAGCGACTCTATGTATGCAATAAGTTATAGTATTGTGTCTGTGTATATTTTAATTAACTGAGAAGTTAATAGTAAAACTATGGAGAAGTGCATTACATCACAAGACATTTCCAAACACACTTTGCAATTGAAAACAGCTAAAAAGTAATTCAAGAATAATACATAAAAAATTGCATATATATATTTAGACTATAATTTAATTGTGACTTTTGTGTCTGCAATTCATTAAATTAAGGTTATTATAGTCAGGAAAATTTTTTGTTACTTCATTTAAAAAAAAAGAACATGCTAACTCACACACGCACGCACGCACGCACGCACGCACGCACACACACACACACACACACACACACACACACACACACACACACACACACACACACACACACACAATTACAATAAACAAAAACTTAATTATATTAAAATGTTGTATTTCTAAAACAAGCAAAAAATAAAAATGACAAAATGCTTCTAAACTATTAAAACATTTACTAAGATAAATTTAAATATAAAAGAAAATTGAAATTAGAATACTTTCTGATGCAACCCAGGCTCATTCTGAAAATGTACTCCATTCGCACCTGCTTATCTCTCGTCAATCCACTAGAGGCCACTGTTGACTGACTGAATGACTGACAGACTGATTAACCACCCTCCTTCCCTAAACCCAACCGATAGTATTTTCAAAAGCTCAGATTGACCAGTGACCACCCACTTCCCTAAACCCTTTTTTTTACTACGTTTTCAGATTGTACCACATTCTTACCCTGTTATTTACTTGTTTGTTTTACTTTTTGCCTTTTGTTTTTGTTTTACCTGCTTTCTAAAACCATTCTTTGCCGAAATCGAACCCCGTCGTCACAGTCAACTCTGCTCTGCAACTCAAATCCTCCGATGTAGCCACCAGACAAAGCCACCAGACAAACTAGTAAAAAGCGGAAAGGACGTCCATACTGAGGTAAGCAGCCTGCTGGTAAGCGCAAAGAGGAATGGTGTCATACCGCCCTGTAGCATTCGCTTTAAAGACGAAATGCAGCCATATGTTCCTCTGGCTACATGATTTGCGATCTCCAGAAATATACGTTTTCAAAATGAGCCTACAGTATGTTGTTCTGATGCTACAATAAAAGCAACACAGCCTTTTATAGATGTATGCAGACATGTATTAAGCTTACATATATATATATATATATATATATGTATATATATATATATATATATATATAAAACAAGCCTGAATTACTTGAATTACCTTTTTATTTGCTTTTTTTTTTTTTTTGCAGTTGTTAATATATAACAATTCTGAAAATAGTCTTTGACTCACAATGCATCCTCCACAACAAACACCCAGAAGAATTAATATAAGAATTACAACTTTACCTGCATTACAACTTTATTCTAGAAATACCATGCTGAAATATAGTGTTGAAGAAGCTGAAAGTGTTCTGAATGATCTAACGGTGTTATCGTAACACAGCTAAATGTGATTAAACTAATAAAGCGATTAAAAAGGGCACTGTAGGCCACATCATGGCAGTGATGCGAGTGATAAATCTGTTGTATAATCTGGCATTAGTAAACTGTAATCCCTGTGAGAGGAAAGCAGAACTGACCTGCTTTGAGCAGGATGATCTGGTCATTCTGGCAGAGCTCCATGAACCCAGAGATGCGTTTGGCGAACTCCACCACGTACTGGATTGCGTTTGTGATTTGCAGAGCGCACTGCTGCCACATCCACTCTGCAGACTGAAAACACACACACACTTCAGTACATACAGTAGCAGCCAGACTCAAATCAGCTAGCACAATCCCAGTTGAGCAATTACAGCGTGAGTTGGCAGAGAATGTGTATATTGTATGTTAACAGTATTTTATTACAGGGGTGTCTGGAAAACTTGATTCTGATTTGTTGCATTCCCATTAATGCTATTCTCAGATAACAACCGCTAAACAATTCAGGTTCATCCAGGAATTTACAGCCTTTGTGCTGTAGAGTGATGCTGGTTTACCTTAAGTTGGAAGCTGCGTGTTTCTTCAGGTGTGTAGAGGCTCCACGTGTGTTTCTTCAGCTCTTCTGTGCTGTACTGACATGTCTCCAGGTGAGACTTCACCACATTCTGAGTGATCCGTTCTGGACAAAACGCATTAAGCACATTTTTCTTTAGTATAATATCTAATCTTAACACAAATGATAAATATAATAGGTGTATTAAATAATATTAATATTAAAATAATAGACTCTTAATCTACTCCAAAGCTTAAACTCACTAAAGATCAAAACCAGCAGATGTGAATCTCACCTATATCATGCAGAGAGCAGTTGTCTGGTATGGAGCCCAGCAGAGAGTGTGTGAGACGGCTGTTGTCAGGCATGATGTATTCGTGCTTAACCCTCACTGCGTCCGCCAGATCCACAGCGCTGGGTTCAGGCGAGCTCTGGCTGGATGAAGAGCTTCCACTTCCAGAACCTCCAGAGCCTGTCCCGCTGCTCAGCATCTCCAGAGCGCAGTACTCGCCTGCCTCCTCTGGCGTGAGCGGCAGGTCGAACAGCAGGCCGTCGGGCAGCGTGGCGATGTCATCTAGGTCGCTGAGGGTGGAGCTGGAGCCTCCGCTGCTGTACGGCCGGCTGTGGGCTCCGTCTTCGGCTTCATCACGGCCCGTCAGACCTGCCAGGCAGTCCTGGGAGAGCTGCTGGTGCCGCTGGACCTCTGCGTACAGACTGTCTCGCTGCTTCTTCGACATCCGGCCAAACTTCACCGCTTTAGAGAGAAAATAACAAGGCAGAGATGTAGGTGTTAGATGTTGTGTAAACGGCATTTAGATTTATGCCTGATGTTTATTTTTTTTAGCAAGGTTGCAAAAATTTCAACAGAAGAGATAACAAAAGAGAAATTGTACAAAATATTTGTAATAAAAAAAGTTATTTCATTGTTCAAAGCATTTAAGAAAGATGAAAATTGCTCACAAAAAATAATGAAAATGATAAAGTTTTGGGTTTGAGTCAGAAACAAATGCATTTTGAGCTATGACAACACATTGTATTTTAAATCCTATTAAATAAAATAATACTTTACAACATTACTTTTGAAACAAACAAATATTTGGTGAGCTTTTCTGTACACCTATTAAAGAATTTACTGATCTCACGCATATAAATGGAAACATATTTAATTATTTTTAGTTATATGCACAATTTTTAATATATATTGTTTAATATATTTTTAATATTTAATAATACTTCTAATATATACTGTATGTAGGAATGGGATGATAACTGGTTTCAAGGTTTATAACAGTTTTGGAAAAGTCAAGGTTTTCAACCTGCTAATTTTTATAGTTATAATATATAATATAATTAATTCATTCATTTTCTTTTTGGCTTAGTCCCTTTATTAATCAGGGGTCACCACAGGGGAATATGCCGCCAACTTATCCAGCACATGCTCTTCCTGCCACAACCCAACAGTGGAAAACACCCACACTCATACACTACGGCCAATTTAGCGTATTCAATTCACCTATGCCGCATGTTTATGAACTTTGGGGGAAACCAGAGCACCCAGAGGAAACCCTAAAATAATAAAAGTAATATTTATACCACTCCTAACTATTTTATTTTTAAATATTTATGGCAACAGTATCTCGAGCCGAAAAGGAGCCTCCATATCAAAAACTTGTCAGAACATGATTCAGGAAACATCTGAAAAACAAATTGCTTATAAACCAACATCCAAGCATGCTATAGTCCTGAACAGTGTAGTGGTTTTACCTTATATCCAAAGAAAAGGAAGATCTCCAAAGATGGCTTTTCAATTTTTATAGAAATCTACAAAACTAATGAAGACAGCAGGCAGCAATTTGTTTTAATTATTTAGTCTGACATTTTTACTGTTTCAAACTAACTGGCTCATGCATAATTTCAGTTGTTCCTGACTTAAACCCATTCCTTAAACTTTATATATACACTGCTCAGCATATGAGTACACCCCCCACAAATCTCTCATTTAAATTAAGATTTTCTATAGGATGCTTTACAAAATAATTTTTGTGCTCTAGTTTAGTCAGTACTGAAGTCAATCTGGAATTAATCTAAAAAAATAACTTGGGTTAGGGAAGAATATTAAATCCAATTTTTCATAAATAGAAAAAATCTAAATAAACAAAAAATGCAATTTTGTTAAAATGTAGTTTGTAATATTTTGCATGAATTTAAATGAATTATCTTTCCATTTCTAAAGATGTTCTGTGACTAAAATATTATTTTAATAAATATTTCTGTTTAATAAATCTGTTTTGTTCAAATGCACCAATATATTTTACCCATATTGACTGAGAAATACAAAAATACAAAAAAATTAAAAATAAAAAAATATATAATACAAAAATGCAACCTGTAAATTCACATCTTTAGTTCCATTACAGTAGATGATCCAAGATGAAACCTTATATCTGCCATCTGTCATGCTATTTAGGACCATCCATAAATAATATTTATTATGATACCATGTACACCACTTTGAATAGCCTGCCTCAAATGGTTCTAAATATAACGCAGGCATTTAGATAGAATGAGTTCAAGTTCAAGTTCTTGAATCAAGATCAAGGTCATCCAATCAGTTTCAAATCATAACAAAACAAAACCAAACAAAGCGTACAAAAAGTATGAACAGGGCTGTTTTGGGGGATTTTTATTTTTTTTTTAATGATAATTAATATTTTGTCAAGTGTGTTTTTGTGCTGGTACTTTCACCTGTCATAGATAAATAAGAAACTGAAATCACCAGCAGGTGGCAGCATCTTATATTCAAAACATTCATTCAAAACTGCTGATTCATTTGGAAACTGTCTTCATGAATGGATCATTGTTTTTTGGCTCTGAAGGGTAAAATAGAGAATCCTTCAGAAATGAAACACAGCGGTGTTGCTCTGGGACCCGCGACTGTTCTAATCAGGCTTTGTTAGGAACTATTTTGATTGGCGAAACATCTGTAACTCTTTCAATACTGAGGGTACACATTTGGGTAAACATTTGAGTCTTAAAACTCAGTTTTAAGTCAGCCATTGGGCTAGTTTAACATTCAGACTCACCATCGCGGCTCATGCCGAGCGCCAGGCACTTCTGCAGACGGCAGTGTTGGCAGCGGTTGCGGTTGGTTCGGTCAATCAGGCAGTTTCTCTGCCGTGAACACGAGTACATGGCATTATTCTGCTGGCTGCGTCGGAAAAAACCCTGGAACGAAAAAACACATCATTACGTCAGTGTGCAGGATGGCTAATATCAGGTGAGGCTTTTATAGGTGTGCCCTAGCATCAAATGACTAAGTAGTATAAACTAACACAGAAAACAAGAAGACAAACACATCGGGATAAAAGAAAAGGAGGGCAGAGCACAAGCATGCATTTGATGGTATCACATTTTATTGTTCCTATAATAGCTGAAGCATTAATCATGATATACAGTATCATCATTATACTGACATAAGAGTGTTAGGTAACAGGAATAATAACAAAAACATCACTATTAGTTATTAACTCCACTAAATAAATCATCTTTTGACTTTCAGTTAGTTTTAAAGAAATTAACAGCACCAATGTTAGGATTAATAAACATTTTAAAAGTCATTTTCATAAACAGTCTTGGTAAACTAACTAATTTTAACAAAAGGAGCTTTATAGTATGTATTATAAGTGTTAAAATATATTTAAAATAAATAGATTACTAAGTATTTTCAGCACTATTTGGTGCTGCGAGGAACAAAAAGCAGAGAAAAAATATTCATCATATTTTGAAATTCCCATGATAATATTATGCTTGTTAATTATCAGTACATTGATTAATTGAATATTGAAAGATATTTTTGGATATTTTTGCTTCTGTGGGTTTAACTAGATTGATAAGTCAATGCACATTTAAGGTTAATACATAGTTTGTGTAAAAGATTGAAAAAAAAATAGTCATTATTACCTTGCACCCTTCACACGTAATTACACCATAGTGAATCCCGGAGGATTTGTCTCCACAGATCTTACACGGTATGACCTCGATTTGGGCTGAAATGAAAACAACATCATTTAAAGGATTAAAGGCAGCATCAAAAATGCAAAAATGCAGACATATGAATTTTTGGCCTAGACCACAATGACTGTGAGCCACTGCGAACAGCAGTCAGATAGAGAGATGACATTGACTCTTGCACGGCATGAAGGACAGAAATAGCCAGAGGATTGATTTTCAGACTGAAGGGTGTATTATGTCTCGGCTTTTATAATGGAACTCATATGATCTGACTTTTAGAAACTGGATGCCTTGCATGTAAACAAGTGTTTCATCACTGACAAAAATAAAATCAAATAAATAAATGAGTACAGTAATAAAATATAGCTCTCCACAGCCTTGTTTGCATGTTTTGTGCACTTTAATACAATATATATGTTGTTTCTATTGATATACTTAAGCAACATTATTAATTTAACTAAACAGAAATAAAAGTACATAACTCATAAATAAATAAAGGTATGTTAAAAAGGTTGATGTTAAAGTATCCTATTATATATACAGAATTAAATGTCCAATTATAAACCTTGTCTTTAGTGAGGTAGAATGTAAATGTAATTGTAAAATGGCTTTAACGATATTTGTGAATTTTGTGAACAGTAAACATTATTGAAGGTCATGTCCAAGTGTTCCCTGATAAGTCGATATATTGATTATTGTGACAGGTGAAGTGTAAAAAAAAAAAAATCAAAACACATTTTTTAATTCACTTAATAATTCCTTAATTTGTTTTGTTCATTAAATGTTGTTATTTAGATTCATAATGGTATTTATTTTGTAATTTTAAATAAACTGCCATTATCAGAGTTGAGTGTTGAGTGTGTTTCACAGTAATGTGTTACTGTATTTTAATTACATTTTTGAGTAACGCAGTAATGTAACGAATTACATTTTAAACTTGTGTAATTTGATTACAGTTATTAATATCAATTTAAGTTCATTACTTACAGGACAAATATAGTTTTTGAAAGAAAAAAATATTTTCTTTAAACAACTTTTGACTGCTTTGAACTTGACTAACAACTTCTTAAAGCACTTGAATAGAAAGCATTCTGCGACGATACTCATCACCGGAGGACACCGGCGCCCAAAAACACGGTGTCCCAACTCAGCTTAAACAGGATAAAAGAATTTTTTTTAGTGCAGGATCGAGAGCGAGGGTTTCTTCTGAATGTGTAGAGAAGCTGCCTATGGGGCCGTTCACATATGCATGAGTATTTTGGAAGCGCATACCGCATTTCCTTGGCACACCCAGTTGAAAACGGTGAGTCACGTGACAAGAACTGACCAATCAGCTTCATACTTTGGAATTAACACATTTCGGCAGACTAATTACCTCAGAGAAACACAGAACACAAACACCGAAGTGCTTTTTCATACTATGGATGTCAATGGTTACAGATATCCAGTTTTCTTCTTAATGTTTTTTTCTTGTGTTAAAAAAAAGCAAATAGGGAATTTTAAGTTTTAACTCTTTTAGTCTTTTGAATATATCAAGCTGCTGTGATTAATCAGATGTGATGTTTTTCAGTGAAATTTAAATACATAAAGAACTGAAGTTTATTTTGTATGTTTATAGGTATATTTTATATGTTTTAAAAGTAACTTCAGAAGTTATCTGATTACTTTTTACAAGAAGTAAGTTGTAATGTAATCAGATTACAGTTTTCCAGTGGTAATCAGTAATTAGTAATCTATTACTTTTTGAAAGTAACTTACCTAAAACTGTTTTTTATTGAATGGGTGTTTACATTTAATACATTTTTAACATCAAATTACAGAATCTAAATTACCTTAAAGAACCTGAAAAGTCTTTGTCCCTTGAAAGTGTTTGTGGCTATTTACATTACTATGCTGTTTTGTTATAATTATATAATGAGTGGCATGCAATAAAATTGTTTATCGCAACATTTTCTGTGATAATATATCGTACAACAAAAATTCTTTATCATGACAGACCTAATTTATTGTTTTTACAAACGAAAAGCTGCATGGAATATATGAAAAATGACATCTAGAATTAATTATTTAATAATAATAATAATAATAATAAAATGACTAAATAAATACAAAAGTAAACAATGAAAAGCAGAATTAATGAATAAGTGAATAAATAAACATGTTTTGTGCTACAGTTATTATGCAATAGCTACATTATACAATAATAAAAAAAAAATACGCATATTTTTTTACTGCTACAGAAAACACTTGCAACAAAATACTTGTTAGGATAAAAAAAGCCCATCCACCATTTTGTCGTTCTAGCTCTGTCAGCTGAAAGCAATGACCAAGATCCACAGTGGCATGCAATGGAAAAATCTGTAATGCCTCGCTGCCCCTCCCGTCCCGCTCTCTGTGTAGAGTTATATAACCTTCGTCTGCAAACATTCCACAAACACGCCATTCAGGGCTGCTCAGTCTAATAATGCAGATGTTCCACCTCCCTGACAGCACTGCCAGCCGATTGGTCGATCCTCAGGCAGATGCGGCTGTGATTGGCTGGCTCTGAGCGTCACTCAAATAGACTTGGCAGTGAGCCCATGTGGACTCGCTGTCCTACTGACATACTTTCTCAGAGAAAAGGGGAGGAGGCTGAGGGTGGGGCCACAGCATATCTTATTTGAATAGGCCTTTCCCTTTGCTTTGTTAAGGTGGAATTGATCTTGACTGAAATACATGGGGGTTTGGACAGATAAGATGAATTCTTGGCTAGGTGACACTCTGTTCATTACATAAAATGTTGTGATGTTTACTTTATCATTATTAAATTATTTTATGTGTATATATAAGTGCTGCATGATTCAGGAAAAATCTAACATTGAAATTTGGAAAGAATTGATCATTTTACATTGATTGGGATGATTCTGTAGGTGAGTAATATAATAAACTTATTAAAAGCCTAAATAAATACAGTAAAGAAAAGTTACAATTGAAACAAACAGGGTTTTACCATTTTCCAAGCCTAATAGTATTCAGGTAGAGTAATTAAACTATGAAAATAAAAGTAATTCAATAAAATTAATCATTATTAAAATTACTAACGGTACAATTTCTCATGCATACATATTTAATTAATTCTTGAAATACTGATCCTAATACCGGTAATACAAATAATAGTGACAACTTGTGTATATATTTATATGATTGCATATAAAAAACATAAATATTATAGATGAATGTACAAAATATAAAGGCTTACATAAATATTTAAATGCTAAAAGCAGCATATTATCATGTAAATGTCTATCATTTTTAAATGCATACTCAATAGTAAATGCACATTATGTATCATCTAATAACCATCTAAATATTTATAAAATGCATATTAAAAAATATACTGTAAATATTTTAACTAAAGGTTATTATACTTGTGAAACATATAAAAAATATTGCAACTATTTATAAAAAGTACTGTCGTGCAAATAAGCAAAAGAGAAACAAAATACAGATGCATGTTTTTCATGCATCACATTTTTCATGCATCCGTGAAAAAACGTGTCTATTTTTAACATGCATATGTTAAAGTTACTCAATATCTTGTCTTTTTAAAATGCTGTGCAAAATAGTTTACCATTTCAAAGTGTTTACTCTGTTTTCAGTTGCACTTGGCTGTGATTATCAAATGCAAGAGCACATCCTGTGTGAACCTTTACACTTACAGAAGTATCTCCTTTAAAAAAACAAAAAACGAATGTACTCATCCGTTTCATATTAGCTGACATACTAGGGATCATTATACTTCGCTTTTCCACAGTGCTTCATGCTATAAACGCCATCTGTGGCATGACTATGCAAACCCGTAAAGGCAGATAAAGAAGGGAATTACATGCGAGCAAAGCGACTCAGGAATACAGTTCAAACCTACAGTGAGCGGTGGCCTCTGTTATCTGTGTTTGCGTACAGTCCCATAATGCAATCACCTTTGAGTAGAGAACATTGTGTTAAGTCGATTTCGGTGACATAACACGAGACAGCAGATTAGATTAAGCAGTGGAGCGTAACGCTTTTTTTTTTTTTTTGCCGTAAGCATTCAGGATAATGTAAGAGGTAGAAATGCCACATTAAATGTTTTGGAATCATAATACATAAGTTTGAATAAAAAACAACCAAAAACATTTAGCCAAGCATAGCAAGCATGTTTTTTTATTTTGATGATTGGGTGTAACTAAGTGTAGCCAAGTGTTAAGGGATAGTTTACAAAAAAAATAAAAATAATCAAAGTATACCTATGATTTACTAACCTGCAAGTGGTTACACATTTTTATAAGTTTGTTTTGTTGAACACAAAATAAGATATTTTAAAGATTGTTGGAAAAGTGTCTCCACTGACATCCATATAAAAAACTATGGAAGACAATGGCTACCAGTTTACGCCCACATTACCATGTATTATAAACTGTAAAAAAAAAAAATCTATTAAATAACAGGGTCCACAGTTCATAATTCATGTTCTTTTTTTATGGTTATTAATTGCATAATGGGTCTTTGATCTCTGGTGTTGACTTTTGATGTTGAAAATTCAACTCTGCAGTTTGACAAGTTGTATTTTAGTAGTTTAAAAGAAAATATTGTATTAGAAATATTAAACTAACTACTAACATTTTAAACACCATCTCAGACAATAATATTACTTTGAAAGATGTCGATTAAAATCCCTTTTTTTTCTAACTTTTCAACATAAAAAGTTGTTGAAGGGTGAGGTCTCATAATTCAATTGAAAAGAAAAAATAAATGAAAAAACAAAAACATGGAAAAAATTGCTAATTGCTAGAATAAAGGATACATAGACAGATACATAAACAAAGCTATATAGAAGACAGAAATATTAGAAATATTTTCATCAGGTAATGTGATAACTATTTCCAACCCAGGCTCATTCTGAAAATGTAACGCTATATATTTTTCTTGAGAGCCCCAAATACGTCCCAGGAGATTCATTTTTTTTTTTTTTAGCAGTTTTTGTTTCAGACACTATTTGATATCTCAAATTTCGCTC